TGGCTTCTTCCCATCACTCAACTCGATTTGTTTATCACCACCATTACTATTAGTATTATTAACAATTTAACCATTACAAAGGAAATTTTACAGTAATTATCTCACAAACACACTGGGTGTTATTTCTCCCATTTTACAGATCTGGAAACCGAGGTTTAAAGGATTATAATGTTTTGCTGAAGGTCCAATTGTTAGTAGATAATCAGAGTTTCATTTTCCCAAAAGAGAAAGAATTTGAGAAATCATTTTTTAAAATACATAGTAATTTCCTTTTCTTTGTTGGTTACCAGGGGTGGAGGAAAGGGGAGGTAATACTGCTAAATAGAGACAAATATTGATTGGGTGAAGAGAAGGGCAATGTACCAAATGTGAGCAATCAACACTGTGGCACTGAGGAAAAGGAAGCCATAGAGAGGTGCACGGGAGGTACAACAAAAAAGATGAACCCTTTTGCACGTACAGTACCGCGTAGTCAGTGATGGCAAACACTGATCTATGGGTGGACAGGTGGGTGGACAAGCTGAACTATTAGGTATGTCTATGCAGGGGGGAATGTGTCCATGACCACGTACGGGGTTGGCAGACAATGTTTCTACAAGGGTATTTGTATGTTCTGTAAATATTTCCAGGTATATAGTAGAGCTGACAAGGGACAAGTCTGTAGTCACTTCTTGGCCACAGCCAGCTACCAAGAGGGAGCACATAGTTGGACCTTTAGACTCGGGATCATGGTCACAGGGGACATCAAGTTCAATAGGCATAACATACTACACAAAAACATTGTTATACATACTACTTTGGCAAATAGCAACTGGGATCTTAAAAGCTTGCAAGCAGCCATCTAGATGCAACAATTGGTCTCTCCTCATCCAGAACAAACAAGAATGAAGAAAATCAAAGACACATGGAGACAATTAGTCCAAGCGACTGGTGCACCATGTTATCCTCAGCTTATAGAATATGACACTAGAAGAACTAGATGGTACCCGGCTACCAATGTCAAGTACTCAGAGGGGATCTATGCAGGAGATCCTGGATAGAGAAGGAGAACAATGTGCAACAAAACTCAAAGCATTTGGGGGGAAGAAAAAAAAAATAAAAAAAGGTTTACTAGTCTGATAGAGGGAGCTCTGGTAGCGTAGTGCCTAAGGCACTTGACTGCTCACCAGAAGGCTGGCGGTTCAAACCCACCAGCCACTCCTCAGAAGGAAGATGGGGCAATCTACTTCCGTAGTGATACTGCCTCAGAAACCCAAGGAGGGGTCGCTATGAGTCAGGTGCGACTCTACGGCACATAACAACAACAACAATTTTTATGTGGGGACTGCCCTGAACATTACAGGTTGTTCAGCAATATCCTTGGCCTCTACCCAAGAGATGCAAGCAGCAACCTCTCAAATATATCCAGCAATAACTAAATATCACCCCTAGCTAAAAACCACTGCCTTGTTGTTAGGTGCTGTCAAGTCAGTTCCAACTTCATAGCAATCCTACGTAAAAGAGAATGCAGCATTGCCCAGTCCTGCACCATCTTCACAACTCCTGCTGTGTTTGAGCCCCCTGTTGCAGCCCCTGTGTCAATCCATTTTGATGAAGGTCTTCCTCTTTTTCATTGACCCTCTACTTTACCAAACATGATGTCCTTCTCCAGGGACTGGTCCCTCCTGATAACATGTCCAAAGCATATGGGATGAAGTCTTGCCATCCTCACTTCTAAGGAGCTTTCTGGCTGTACTTCGTCCAAGACTGATTTGTTAGTTCTTGTGGTAGACCATGGCATAGTGTATCTACTTAGTGTATCACTTCTTTTCAAAGAATAGCAAGCAAGAGTCACTATGCAAAATTTACATAAAGTATTCCATTTCTCAAAACTTGAAAATTCAACTAGAAAAAAAAATTAAAAATAACTGAAAAGCCCAAGCTCAGTGAAAATGTAAACCTTATTTTCTAAAGCAAGTAATTTTCAAGTAAGAATGTCAACATCACTGATGTCATCAATATAATTCAGGTATTTTATTAATATTCCTACTCATTCACTATAAGGAGCTCTGATGGCATAGTGGGTAAGGCATTTGGCTGTTAACCAGAAGGTTGATGGTTCAAACTCACCAACTGTTCTGTGGGAGGAAGATGAGGCAATCTTCTTCTGTAAAGATTTATAGCCTTAGAAACCCAATGCCGGCTACTCTGAGTCAGAATCAACTCGATGGCAGTGGGTTTGGTTTTTTGGTTTGTTTACCATAAAAAGTTTAAGACAGATTTCTTCAACAATATTTTCAAAGAACAAAAATAGTCAACTAATATTTTTGCCTCCTACTCCTCGGAAGAAAGGTTGGGCAATCTACTTCCGTAGTGATACTGCCTCAAGAAACCCAAGGAGGGGTCGCTATGAGTCGGGTTTGACTTGACGGCAGTGAGTATTCCATTAGGAAGTCTAGAATTCAAAAGACACTACATATTGAGCAATAATCATAAAAGCTCATGACTTCTACCTTCCTTTATGAAAACCACAAAAATGAAAACCTATAAAACTGAACAGAAGCACAGCAACGACCTGATAAAGCTGAGGGAATCCCTGATCGAACTTTCTCTGCATACAATTCATGAAATAAATGGGTTTATTTGCTTGAGCCTACAATAAACTTGATGTTAGCTACTGGCAGAATACATTATCCTAAAAAAAAAGAGAAAATGTTAATTTCATCTTGTAACATTGCTCTTACAAAATGAAAGGAAACAAAGTCTACTTAACTACATTTCACCAAAAATGAGGAAGAAAATGACATAAAATTATGGCATTTGAATGTCATTTATGAACAAAGTAAAAATCCTCAAGTAGTGTACTTTCCAATTTCATAGTGGAAAAAAAATTCACAATTACAATCACAGAGTTTTTATACTAGCAGTCACCCTAGATGTTTGTTACCCAGCCCAACCCCTAATTTTAAAGATGAAGTAAAGAAGAATGATATTTGGTGGGAAGGAATCTTCCACTGTCTCCATATACCATTTGTTTAATAATAATAAGTCTATGGTTAATAGCACACAATGTTTTAATGTTAAAATTTGAGTAGTGGTGACATGGGAATATTATATTATCCATATGATACAAGGAGCTCTGGTGGTATAGGGCCTAAGGCATTTGACTCCTAACCAGAAGGTTGGTGGTTCAAACCCACCAGCCATTCCGTGGAAGGAAGACTGGGCAATCTACTTACATAAAGAGTTACTGCCTCAGAAACCAAAAGAGGGTTGCTATAAGCTGGAATTTTTTTTTTTTTTGTATATGATAAAAAGTTTCCATATTTGGTTACTATTTCTACTAAACTTCTTTTAAATAAAGCTGGAATTAAAATGACGAAACTAAGGCCCAATAAAATAAATGGCTTGCACAATACAACACACCACTAAGATTAGAATACAGGTTTCCTAAATGTTAAGCCAATGCTTTTCAAGATTTCAATAATGTTTTCAGAACTAGAAAGAGTAATTTGTTATTATTAGACAGTATTCAGACTGGGCAGTATTTCATTCTGTTGTACAAAGGATCACTATGAATCAGAACCAACTCTAGGACACCTAGCAATTCTAAAGAAACACCTGAGCTTTGCAGAAGACACTCAATATTTGAAAAATTAAATGTCTCTTTTTTTAGGTGTCTTTCATTTGCATTATACTTACTGTGGTGGGGAGAGGGCATAAATAAAATATATATTGTTGGGTAAGCCACACTGAACCAAGCAAAAGATCCAAACCAAAACCAAACCCACCACCAAACTCAATGCCGTTCAGGTTCAGATGATTGGACTCATAGCCACCGCTCCTTGGGTTTCCGAGGCAGGATCTCTATGGAAGTAGATTACCCAATCTTCCTTCTGAGGAGTGGCTGGTGGGTTTGAACTGTCAGCCTTCTGGTTAGCAGTCAAATGCCTTAGGCACTACACCACCAGAGCTCCCAGTGACCCTATGGGACAGAGTAAAACTTCTCCAAAGGGTTTCCAAGGCTGTAAATCTTTACAGAAGCAGAATGCCTCATCTTTCTCCCTCTGATTGACTGCAGGGTTCTATCCCTCCACCTACTGATTAGCAGCCAAATGCGTTGAACACCGTGTGACCAGACTGGGTGCTTACACAACTTGTTATCTACTTGTATACACTTAACCCCTAGGATAAAAAACCTTGAGTCAATTTCTGGGCATGCAACCAAGCAGGCACCTAATTAATGAAGATGCTGGTCGTGGGGTCGTGGCTTGAATTACTCTCCTTCTCTCTAAAACAAAACATAAAGTCCTCTTCATATTGAAGGGAAAATAAATACTAAGGGAAGATTTTATCAGAAGGTGGTAAGACTTAAGAGTAAAAATACCTACCACTAACATGCCTTCTTAAAGATCTCTGGATAACTTCCCCAAACTCTGCAAGCCTAAAGAGAAGTCAGTTCCTGCTTGCTGTAAAATGCTAGATGAGATAACTGCAAAACTCAATTTTTCCTTTTCTTTGATGCCACTTTATCGGAGTCCGTAAGACCTCGACAAGTAATCCTCCTGCCACGCGATCACGGAATGCGGAAATATATATAAACACATATACATATGTGTGTGTGTGCATGTATGTATGTACTTATATAGATAGTTTTTTTGTTTTGTTTTGTTTTTTTAATGCTGTGGAGCAGACGGGGTCACGATGGAAGCAGGAGAGAACCCCGAGGTGGGCAGGGGGCAAAGAAGGGCAGGAGCTTCGGCCTCTGTGACTCGAGCAGTGCCAGCGCGAACCCGCCCCATCTCCCACCTTCACTTGGGATCCCAGGCGTGGGACGACAGAGCCTGATAGAGGCCTCCCGGCGCCAGGCACCTGCCACACCAGGACCGGCCCCCACCAGTACCCGTCCCCGAAGGCGGAGTCTCGGGCGGAGCAGGGCCCAGGAAGAAGCCCCGGTGTGCAAAAGCCAGTGGCGTCGGCCCCTCATTCCCCAGAGCACACCAGCCGCGACCCTCGCTTACCGCCCCAAATCCCCAGTTTCAGCTGGGACTTGTTCAGGTTCTCCACATAGTCCCCCAGGAAGCGGTTCAGCAGGTCCGCGACCACCGACTCCAGCACCATCGTGGGGCTGAGGCAATGTGAGAGGGAGGAGACGGAACAGCCAGGCGCAGCTGAGGGCGGTGACCCACGCCGCCTATGACAGCCCCTCGGGCGCCGGCCCGCCCCGCGCTGCGCGCGTGACCCCGCCTGTGCGCAGGCGCGCCACCGCCGCTGCCACCGCCTCTGGGAAGGGTGGGCGAGCTGAGCATCCATGCTGTTTTTTCGTGGCCGCCACAACCCGCGGCCGGAAGAAGGAAAAAAGACTTTGAAAAAAGAAAAAAGGAAGCATAGGATTTCCTGACTTGACCGAAAGCGGATCCGCGGTACTTGATTCCAAGCCCACCGTGCCTCAGCGCGGAGCTTTCTAGGTCTCCAGACCTCTCTGAGCGTCTCCTAAGCAATCACCCCTTCCCTTGTGGGTAAGAAGGGGAAGAGGAGACACTATATCCTTGTCCTACTACACATCACCTCTGCCTGGAACAAGGTTTCCGCTTCTTTTTGCTCCCTGAAAACACGCTTTACTAATTTCAAAGTGGGAGGAGGGAGGGACAGGACTGCATCATAAGGTGGAAGGTAGAATAGGAATTGTTGAAAGCTTATTAATGTCTCTCTTCTGTGCTTGATTCACTCATAGTTACAGGCCACTCATCTTCCTAGTTATTTATTTCATTAAGGAAATAAAGAACAAAAACTTACTGTGTCTTTTACTTTTAAATATGGGTGAAACAAACCAAACTCAACTGCCGTAGAGTCGGATGCGACTCATGGCTACCCCTCCGGTTTCTGAGGCGGTATCACTACGGAAGTAGATTACCAAATCTTCCTTCTGAAGAGTGGCTGGTGGCTTTGAACTGCCCACCTTCTGGTTATAAGTCAAATGCCTTAGGCTCTACGCTGGTTATTTATCACTTTGTTCCCTGTTATTATTCACGGGGCAAATAGGAAGGACCAGTGCTAGAGAAGGACATTACGCTTAATAAAGTAGTGTAGTTAGGTGTCTTTATTAGGTTAGGTGTTGGTGTTGTTAGGTGTTGTTATCCATCTGCAGGGCCCGGCCCCTTCTGATAACATGACCAAAGTACTTCAGTCAGAGTCTGGCTAACTCTGGTGACAGTGTGAAGAATGGATTGGTGAAGGGAAAAACAAGGCCAAGCGAGCAGTTAGAAGGTGATTGGATGGTGCAAGTGAGGTATAAAGAATATTTAGGAAATACAGCAAATGCAGAATAGAAAGGTTTGGCTGTTAATTGCCTATCAGTGATGGAGAGGAATTCAAAGTGTCCTGATTGCATGGTTAGTGTTCCTGCCCTTCCTTCATACTCTAGCAGTGTTGAATGAGATGGGTAAGTCATAACACCAGCATTTTAATGGTTATATATGTTCTTCTTGCTTTCCTTGACACCCACACCCATATATGTATACAGACAGAGCATTGAAATGTTGAGGCTCCTACTTGTAAGAACACCTCAGCAGAGCTCCAAACTGCCACGGTCTTCCTCTGAGGAGATGCGTGTGTTCCAGGCACGTGGCCTGGTCCTGTTACACCCTCCTCACAGGAACTAGATGGCTCATGCTTTTGAGAAAAGTAAAACACAAGGTTTAATGTGGTCACAGGGGACCAGCCATGCCCCAGAAGAAAGCACATCTCTGCTGTTTTAAAAAAATCTGGCACAGGAAATGCTTTGAGGTATTATTGAAGAAGGTGCATTGTTAATAAAAACAAAGCAAATCTACTTCACTTGACCTGACAGAGAAGTGTTTTCAGTGGAGTCCATGTGTGAATCAGCTACGCCCTGGTCAAGTTAACCTATGTAACAACAACAATAATCAATTAGTAAGCACTCCTTGTGTTGCAGCCATTTTCATGCCTATCTTTTTAACACAAAAACCCTGTATGGTAGATTTTTTTTTCCCCTCATAAGTTGAGCTCAGAAAGGTTAATTAACATAGTTTTGTAGCTATAAAGTTGTGTAACAGACTTGCAACCAGGATCGATTCACTCCAAAGTGTCTATGTCTTCACCCTTAAATCATTTCTCTTGCCCTGGTGCACACTGTACCACAGGTTAAAAAATCCAGCCAGCCTTTTAGACAGGGAGCTCTGATCTGAACTCCTCACCATTTTAACCTATTGCTCTCTCAGCTCTCACTCACACAGCATCACAGTATTTTGTCCCCTGAAAAGAGCTGAGTCAAACCAAATGCACATGACCCTTATAATCACTTGGTAGTCTGTCCAGGTTGGAGGTGGTATAAAGACAAAGAAGTAGCTAATCGAGCTACTTTGGTCATGTTGTTAGAAGAGACCATTCCCTGGAGATGGATGTCATGCTTGGTAAAGTGGAGGTCAGCAAAGAAGAGGAAGACCCTCAACGAGATGGATTGACACAGTGGCCGCAACAGTGGGCTCAGGTACAGCAAGCATTGTGAGCTGGCACAGGACCGGGCTGTGTTTTGTTCTGTTGTACACAGGGTCACTATGAGTCAGAGCTGACTCAGTGGCACCTAACAGCAACAACAACAATCAAGCCTATCAACCCCACACCCATAAAAAAAATGTATAATGTGCTCAATAAAGTCTCTTCAAGCATAGCAACAATTGTGAGGATGGCAGAGGACCCGGCAGTGCTTCATTCTGTTGTATATAGGGTTGCTGTGAGCTGGAACTGACTTGATGGCATCGAACAACAACAGTGATATTCCAGGCAAAGTGCTAAGTAGTTTTCATTGTTAATTGCATTAAACCTTACCCCGTAACTCACTTACACTAATTAACTCAACTCACTGCCATTGAGCCAGATCCAACTCATAACAACCCCCCTTGGTTTTCCAAGGCGGTATCACTACGGAAGTAGGCTGCCCAACTTCCTATACTCAGTAGGTATTATTTTCTCCATTTTCCATCACTATATAACCTTTGGTAAGTTATTTTACCTCTGAAACTCAAGTTTTTCATCTATAAAATGGGGATATTCACACATTGCAAGGTTTCTGTGACAATTCTGGATACTATGTGAAAACCATGAAGTGTAGTATCTGTATGTATGTATCCTACACACAAAATGTACATTATCTAGAAGTCACTTTTGTATAGATTCAATTTAATCTGTTGGACATTATTTGGAAAAGCAATTAATTTGCAAGGCAAAAAGATCACACACCTCAACATGGGACAAAACTCAGACCTCTTTCAACCTGAGCACTGCCGAAGAATGAGCACAGGTCACTTGTTTCAAAAGGAAGAAAAGGGGTCTCTCAGGTGGGCACAGCCTAGGAAGGCCAGATTTGTTCAGGGTTCCTGCAAACTATGATTTCAATAGCCCAGATGTATAAAAACAAAAAAAACAAACCCACTGCCATCAAGTTGATTCCAACTCATAGCGACTCCTATTGAGTTTGCAAGGCTATAAATCTTTACAGAAATAGATTGCCTCATCTTCCTTCCACGGAGAAGTTGGTGAGTTTGAACCTCTGACTTATTGGTTAGCAACCCAATGCCTTACCCACTACACCACCAGAACTGCTTAGACCAGATGTTTACAGGAATATGTTTTCCCAATTAAATCAGGTCACTTGGCTTAAGAAGTGTGCTGTGATTTTTTTCATTGAGGTGTTCCAAAAACCAAATCAAACCCACTGCTGTGGAGTTGATTCCAACTCACAGTGACCCCCACTGGGTTTCTGAGGTGGTAAATCTTTACAGAAATAAACTGCCCAGTCTTGCTTCTGTGGAGTGGCTGGTGGGTTTGAACCACCAAGCTTCTGGTTAGCAGTCATACATGCCTTAGGCACTGTACTAAGGAGCTCTAATCTTTTTCTTAATTGTAAACATATACATAATATTTGCCAATTCAACATTTTCCAAGTGTACAACTTAGTGTCATCAACTACATTAATCATGTGCAACCATCACCTGTAATCATTGTCAAATTTCCCATTATCATAAAAACTCACTGCTCCCCCTAAAGTACCATTAAAAAAAAAAAAGAAAAAAAAAAAAAACACCTCACTGCCAGTTGAGTCGAAACCTACTCATAGCGATCCCTCCTTGGGTTTCTGAGGCGCTATCGCTACGGAGGTAGATTGCCCAGATTTTTGTACATGTGAATGCATCCCTATGACCCCACCTTTCAGCACCTGATAAGGTTTCCCCAGATGTAGAGGTAATTTATAATCAACAAAGAAACAACAGCTAAAACCAGAGCTGGAAACTGTAAAGTAAGCAAGGAACTTTGAAAGTCGGCAATAGAAAGGCTGGATTTGGAGAAGGGTGTTAGGTAAGACAGACAAACCTGAATTTTGTCTTCACCATTTTAATAGTAGGTGTCCAGTGCTTCTGTGCTTTCACATTCGTCATGTCTTTCCATCCTCCCAATGACTGTGTATTGCAGTCAAGACTTAACACTCATTTGTTCGGAGTTTTCGAAGAGAATACCCCAGCCAAAGCAAGAGAAAGAACCTGCTCCCCAGAACTAGCTCAGCAGTTCCAGCCACGTGGCAGCGGGGGAGAGGGAGAGCGCGCGGGGGCGGGGGGGGTGCAGGTTACCTGGCAGCGCCTTGCCTGCGGACTCATTGGCTGACGCTCCCGGCTGCAGGTATAAAGGTTCAGAGCCGTGGTCTACCCTGCCGCGCTCACTTTGAACCTGCGCACCTCTGCCTATCTGTGCCCTAGATATAAAAGGGTTGGGACCGATTGGACGCCAAACCCCAGGTACATTTGGAGGGCCCAGTCGGCTTGCTTAAATTCCGGGTGTCTCGTCTGAGGTTTGTGCCTAAAGGAGGGCAGCAAGCCGCATTTCTTGGCATAATAATTATTTTAAATCTCGCTGAGGGCTAGAGTGCAACAGACTAAGGATCCAGTGAACAATGCAAAGCCCTTGGCTCGGTAGATAGTGCCACCAAAGTTAGCGGCCAACATTGTAAGAATCTCTGTTTTAGGCTATCTAGGGTAGACTGAGGTTAAAGCAATAAGCGTCAAAGTGTACAGGACAACGGAGTGGAGACGGGGCAGGAGAAGAACGATTGATTTTAAATCACTGGAAAATAGTGAGCAATAGGGGCGCACGGTGCAGTTTGCCTCGTCCCAGGAAAAAGCAGGATGAAACACTGCGAAAAGAGGAAAGGGTACAGGAACTATCGCGCCACGCGGGGCTCACGCTGATGATCGGTGTGCGTTTATGCGTTTCAGGCCAACCAGCGGAGGGTCCCCCCCGTCCAGCATCTGTCATCTGATGTGGTGCCTGGAGCAGCTCCGCCTGAGTCCCGAGTGTCTCCTGGCGCGTGGAGTCGGGCTTCTCCGGGGTCGGTCCTGTGAATCCACCGCCGTCGCGTCCGCCGCTTTCGCCAATGTGCTCACCCCGGACCGCATCCCCGAGTTCTGCATCCCGCCGCTACTGGTGCCCGGCCCGAGGCAGGCAGCGCACCAAAACTCCTGGGGCGAAGATTCGAGGACAGATGAGGCCGCAGGCCGCACAGACTGGGACCCGCTCTCGCAGGCTGCGCTCTCGCTACCGCACCTGCCCCGCGAGCGCACAGCCTACGGCTTCTGCGCGCTGCTGGAAAGCCCGCACACCCGCCGCAAGGAGTCGCTCTTTCTCGGGGACCCGGGCGCTGCCGCGCTCCAATGGCCGCCCTCAGCCCGGTCCGCGCCACGCCCCCGGGCGCATACCTACAGCAGCCGCGACGGCGGAGACTGCCCCCGAGCCTCCCAGGGTCTTCCGCGAGCCCAGAGCGGAGCCTTCGTCGCCACCCCCGCCGCCTCCAGCAGTCCCCACACGCTGTGGGACACGCTAGTCCCGCGGCCCCGGGGCCACTGCCTCCTGCGCGCCCCCGACGGGCTGCTGAGCCGCGCGCCGCGGGCCCGAAGGAGTCGAGGCCTGGCCCGAGCCCATTCCATCTCCAGCGGGGAAGAGGACGAGGAGTGCAGCGTCACCTCGGGGCTCTCAGCCTATGACCTATCACCGTTCCCGACGCCGACGCCGCCCCCAGTTCCGCGGCCAGAGTGCCTGGAAGCCGAGAGCACCGTGACTCTAGACCACTCCGGCGGCGTCTTGCGCCTGGCGGCAGAGTACTGCCCGGGCAGCGGGCACCTCCGCATCCGGCTGCTACGCACCGAGGGCCTGGCCCGAGGAGCTGCCGAGCCACGCGCCGTCCGCTGCCGTATTAGTTTTGTCCTGCGGCCGCCAGGGAAGACGCGCAAGCCGCGCAGAGCAGTGGTCCGGCGAAGCTGCAACCCGGTGTTTGACCAGGACTTCTGCTTCGACGGGCTTACGGAGGACGAGGTGCGCTGCATGGCCGTGCGCTTCAAGGTCGAGAACAAGGGCCGGTGGCTGGAGCGGGGCCGCCTTCTGGGCCAGGGCGAGCTACTGCTGGGCTCTCTCTTGCTCCTCTGAAGAGACCCTTGTGCTCTGACCGCTGCTTTGTACAAAATAAACTTTTTTTCCCTCCTACTCAAGTCTTATTTTTATTCGGTCCCATGTTGGCAGAGCTGATGATAGTGAGTTAATTAACAGAGTAACCAGAAACTAAATCCACTGTCACTGAGTTGATTCTGACAGGTAACGACCCCCCATTGGATTTCCAAGGCCACAAATCTTTACAGAAACAGACTGACTCATGTTTCTTCCACAGGGTGTGTGGTGTGTTAGAACCACTAACCTTTCCACTAACAGGGAGGTGCTTTAACCATTACACCACCAGAGATCCTTTGGCCTAGGGTAATAATAATAGATTTGAAGGTTGGGCAATCTACTTGCGTAGTGATACGGCCTCGGAAACCCATGGAAACCCATGGACGGGTCACTATGAGTTACATCTGACTCTACAGCAGTGAGTTTGGTTTCTTTTGCTTTTATGTTTTAAAGAATGTTTTTCCTTCATTCCTCACACTGCCAGCCAGGTGTATTTTCTTCTTTCTTAGGCACATCAGAGGAAGATATGTCTCAAATGAGCATTGTAAATACTTAAATTTATGTGTATGGTATGGTATTAAATATGCCTACATTGTCAATCTGGATTCAGCAATGCTGAATGAGCTGCTTTCATGAAACTTGTTGACAGCTTTATCCATTTTGTTCTTGTTAGGTGCCATGGAGTCGCCTGCGACTCATAGAGACCCTAAGCACAACAGAACTAAACACTGCCCCAACCTGTGGCAGCCCCACAATCCTTGCTATACCTGAGCCCATCATTGGCTTTATGCATTGGTATTCATGAACAGTGCTCTTCAGGAAATAGTTCCAGTCACAACTCAGGCTTAAACTGGAAATGGATTGTTGTGGTGGGTATTTATTTACAGTGATGATCATGGAACAAACATGAAAAATCACTGTGAACTCTCTCAAAACCAACAACAACCAAAGCTTACAACGGTTGATCAAGCAAATGGTAACATAACAGCAGTAGTTAGGATCTATCATGTACTTTTCCGTTAAACTCGTCATTTCAATAGCTTTCAAGCCACGGTTTTTTTTTTTTTTTTGTACCAAGTTCTTCATGATTTTAGAATTTTGGTAGGGTGACTACTGAGTTCACATATATAGTATTTTAAAAGGAAAATAAATGGAGAGTGTAAACATCCTGGCTAAGAACAATATCATAGTGGATTTTCATTTTTCTGGCCCTTAAAAACAGATTACACTGATGGCTTAAAAAGCAAGGGCTTATTCCAGAAAAGGTTGCAGTCACGATTGTCATTAGGTTGTGTAAAAGTAATGGGAAAGGAAATGTCAATTTCAAAAGCAGATTTTCCCAAGACAGTAAATAGTTGAATATCAGGAGCCAAATTTGGTGTGCGCTTAATGTGTTTCAGGCTAACCAGTGGAGGGTCCCTCCCCCCCGCCCCCTCCATCTAACATCTGTCTCTGATTTGGTGCCTGGAACAGCTCTGACTAGGTCCCAAGCAGCTACTGCAGAGTGGGGTCAGGCTCCTCCTGAGTTGGGAGACCCAAGAGAAAGGGGCAGGAGGGCAAGCTAGGCCCCAAGCCCCCTAGAGCCAGGAAAGGGAGGGACCAGGAGCAGCCAGGGACCACAGGGAGGCAGGTTTCAGGCAGGAATTAAGTAAGAGGAGGGTGCAGAGGTTTGGAACAGCTAAGGAAGGCAAACTTGCCTGTCAGTTTGTCATCCTGTGAGGCTTGTACATTGCTGTGAGGCTTGAGGCTGTGCCAATGGTGTTTCAGATGCCAGCATTGTTGCACATGGTGCGCAGGTTTCAGCACAGCTTGCAGACTAAAACAGACTAGGAAGGAGGAAGAGGCCATCCACTTCTCAAAAATTGGCCAGGGAAAACCTTATGAATAGCAGAGAAACATTGTCTGATACATTACTAGGCAACTTTATGAATAGCTTGGAAACATTGTCCAACACAGTGCAAGAAGAGTAACCCCTTGGGTTGGAAGGTACTAAAAATAGAACTGGGAAAGAGCTTCCTCATTAGAGTAGAACCAACCTTAATGATATGGATAAAGTAAGTCTTTCAGGACCTCAATGTGCTGATGTGGCATGACTCAAATTGAGGAGAAACAGCTGCAAACATCCATTAATAATTGGAACATGGAATGTACTAAGTATGAATCTAGGAAAATTGGAAGTTGTCAAAAATGAAATATAACGCATAAAGATTGATATCCTAGGTGTTAGTGAGCTGAAATGGACCAGTTTTGGCTATTTTGAATCAGACAACTATATGATCTACTATGCTGGGAATGACAAATTGAAGAGGAATGGCATGGCATTCATCATCACAAAAGATGTTTCAAGATCTGTCCTGAAGTACAATGCTGTCAGTGATAGGATAATATCCATATGTCTACAAGGAAGACCAGTTAATACAACTATTATTCAAATTTATGCACCAACCACGAAAGCAAAAGATGAGGAAATTAAAGATTTTTATCAACTTCTGCCGTCTTAAATTGACCAAACATGCAATCAAGATGTGTTGCTTATCACTGATGATTGGAATGGAAACAAAGAAGAATCACCGATAGTTGGAAAATTTGGCCTCGGTGACAGAAATAATGCTGGAGATCGCATGATAGAATTTTGCAAGACCAATGACTTATTCATTGCAAACACCTTTTTTCAACAACACAAACAATGGCTATATATATGAACTTCGCCAGACAGAGTACACAGGAATCAGATTGACTACTTCTGTGGCAAGAGGCTATGGAAAAGCTCAGTATCTTCAGCTAAAACCAGGCCAGGAGCTTATTGTGGAACAAACCATCAACTGCTCATATGCAAGTTCAACTTGAAGTTAAAGACAATTAAAACTAGTCCATGAGAGCCAAAATATGATCTTGAATATATCCCTTTAGAGACCATCTAAAGAATAGATTTGATGCATTGAACACCAATGACCGAAAACCAGAAGAATTGTGGGATGATGTCAAGAACATCATCCATGAAGAAAGCTAGAGGTCTCTAAAAAGATGAGAAAAGAAGAAAAGACCAAAATGGATGACAGAAGAGACTCTCAAACTTGCCCTTGAGTGGAGAGTAACTAAAGCAAATGGAAGAAATGACAAGATAAAAGAGCTGAACAGAAGATTTCAAAGAGCAGCTTGAGAAGACAAAGACAATTACTATAATGAAATGTGCAAAGACCTGGAGCCTGAAAACCAAAAGGGAAGAACAC